TCCAGCTGGGTGTGTCACTCAGGGCCATCCACGCGAAGCAAGAAAACTCTTGCAGAGATGACATCCACATCTCCAGGTAGTCTATGCAATGACTGTAGAGGCGACGCACCGCATCAGAGAAGGCGTCGCATCCTTCCTCCAGCCCCTCCTTACGCTTGTCTGCAAGCATCCCCTTCACCGTCAGGGACATGAAGTTCTGGGCTCTTCGGTCCAGCAGGATGGTGTGCACAGAGTCCAGCGTCTTCATCACTTCCGCGAGGGAGTTATTTTCCCGCTCCATCTCTTCAATGTGCAAATGGAAGGCGTTCATCAGCGAGTGCATGTGCCAAAGGTAGAGCTCGCTGAACTCGTGCTCAAAGAAGCTCTTGAGCACGGCGGGCGGGTTGCTCTGGCCCAAGAAGAAGGACTTCAGGGCCGAGTGCATCTGGAGCAACTTTGTGATGCCGGGGAACAAGGACAGCCACCGAGTCTTGCTGTGGGAGAGCAGCCGCTTGTACTCCACCTCCACAAACTCGCAGTATTCTTGCAGGGATTCCGTCCGCACCGCGTAGATGTGAAAGTACTGGTAGATCTTTAGGATGATGTTCTCAACGTCCACCTCGAGGGCATCTGTTCCGTGGTGGATGCAGTTGTGCAAAATGTGGGCAGGGCAGTACACCCCAATCAACGTCTCCCTCTGGAGGGATTTCTTCAGCTGGGCAAACACAGTCCTCGCCTCCTCGCCTTGCCGAAGTTCACCAAACATGGTGTTGCAGTTGTCCCCCGCGAACGCCACGCACTTCTGAAGCAATCTGTGTTTCTTAAGAGCTTTGACAAGAGAGTCTGAAACATCCGTCTCAGTGGCCGTTTCCTGAAGGTCCAGGAGTTTGGTCTTCAAGCCGCCGTTCCTGTAGTCGTAATACTGGATGAGTACCGGGACCATTTTCACGGCCCTATGGCTTCTGTCATCTATGGCCACCCCGCAGAAAGGGATGCCGTGTTCTTCCAGGTCAATGCTCACTGCATGCTGGGCAAAGACTGAGTTCTCAAGAGCTTCTGTCCTGCTCCGGGTGTTGGAAAATTTTTGCACTATCTCTGCGTCAGGAAATATTTTTCTGAACAACTCAGAGGTGCGGCCTGCTGATTTGTAGCTGTTGCAACTTGGGATGGTGTGCAAGGGTAGCGTGCTGTCCGCTGCAGCAAGAGCATCCTCGGCTTTTGTGCCTGGAGTCCCCAAAAATTCAGTCAGCTTTGCAGACCAACTGTCTCCTCCGAGGGCTTTCTTGTGCTTTTCAGAGGACATGTGATACTCCAGGTCACTGGCACCTTTATGTGCCACTGACACAAATGTGCCAGCTTTGCAGACCAAGCATTCTGCTTCATAGTCATCTCTACCTTTACGAAAATGAGGATATTTCTGCTTCAGTTTGTCAGTAAAGACACATTTTCGTTTAGGCATTTTGTATCTTCAGTGTGGCTCAAAATCTGAGATGGAATACTGCAGGTAACAAAACTGACAGTTTTAAGACGGGGATTGGAAGGAGTGATGAATTAATCCATCCTCTTTTAAATAGATGCAATATACAAATAATTCATGCATCAATGCACAATTTGCAGTTAAGAAATGGGTATTTTAAATTCACGCAAATATTAAGTGGAGCTGTAACCCATTATCTGATTGCTCATTTTCAACACTGGCATATTTATCAAGGTCAAGCTATATTTATAGTTTCCATTTTAAAAGGAGCAGCTATCTGGGAGATTAGAACAAAGACTTAATTCTCAACTAGCAGGAGGCCGCAGGCAGATCTAAGTCACTGTCTCTCCTTAAAACAGACCCTTCTAGACCCAATGTTAGTAATTTGTTCTTACATTGTCTAGGCGATGGCTCCTCATACATCATTTCTCAGGTGTCCAAATTTTTTTAAGAGCTGTAACCATCAGAGGAGAATGCTGTAAGTCCCCTTAGTCAAGTTTTTGGTGACCAATTGTTCATGACTAATTTTCCCATGTTCTTCTTTTGTTGTACTTGTGTTTTGGTCTGTGACCGCAAATAAAGTATTATTATTATTATAACTAGCAGGAGGTGTTAGGGATAACATTGTTTTACCCTAACTGTTTTGGGTAAAGATAATAAAATGATGAATCATGGTTTGTCAGATAAAGTGTATGTGACTTTAAGCTAAAGGAATGTAATTAAGGGTGCAGCTGTAAAAGTACTATATAAGCAGCAAGGCACTCTCTGGCTCTTACTGGCTGGCTTATAGAAGACTGCGTTCTTGCTGGATCGGGGAGGAGAAGAAGTGTTGGATTACTTTGAAGATATTTCTCAACGGAGAGAAGATAAGTTTTGGACAGATTTATTATATGTGTACTGACACTGGCTATTCGACACGGACTTTGCAATTAGAGTATCCTCGACAAGACTTGACTGAATTTGGTATATGACTACTGGACTGTTTATTATGACTATGCTATAATTCTTAAATGGAACAAACTATATTTTTGATAGCACAAGCGTATCTGTATTTTTACTGCGTGTTAACTAGAAAACTTATCTCACACATTTACCTGTCTTCCTATCTGACTTCGTTGCACGTTCTGTTTAGTTTGTTTTCCTTAACACCCGTTGGGGAATCCAGGCTTAACAGGAGGTACGTATAGATAGTCCTCGATTTATAATCATTTGTTTGGTGATTGAAGTTAGAATGGCACTGAAAAAAATGAGTTATGACCATTTTTCACACTTATGACCGATGCAGCATCCTCACGGTCACGTGATCAAAATTCAAACGCTTGGCAACTGACATGTATCTATGACGGTTGTCGTGTCCCAAGGTCGTGTGATCACCTTTTGTGACCTTCTGATAAACAATGTCAATGGGGAAGCCAGATTCATGTTACAACGGCGACAAAAAAGGTCATAAAATGGGGCAAAACTCACTTGACAACTGTCTTGCTCAGCAACGTAGCCCTTGATGTACACTTTGGTTGTATGTTGAGGGCTGCCTGTATATACTGCATCGTATAGGTAGTCCTCGACTTACAACCGTAATTGAACCCAGAATTATGGTTGTAAATTGTGGCAATCATTAAGCGAACCCGTTTCTACAAATGGGCTTTCTTTGCCAGAAAGAAGATGCCAAAAATTAGCAGCAACCGTCATAAATGTGAGTTTCAATTGTCAAGCATCCAAATATAAATCATGTGACACTGGGACGCTACAATGGGTGCAAGTGTGAAAAATGGTCATAAGTCACTTTTTTCAGTGCCGTGTTAACTTTGACTGGTTACGAAATGAACTGTAAGTTAAGGACTACCTGTATCGCCAATATGCATGCACACACATGCACACACACACACACCATCCAACTTATGCTAGACATAAGACAGCAGTTTTGATTAACCTGGCCATGGATGCAAACAGATAAATATTTGGTTAAACTCTGGACATTCCTTGACCAAATGCAAGTTTTCCCTGTGAAAATACCTGTATATGATCATCTTTATTAGTATTAGTTGTCAACTTTCCTACAAGGAAAAAAAAAAACCAATACCACAAAGATATTTAACCAACCACAATGAAATCAGATTAAGTGTTGTTTAAACTTCCATCCAAACTTGTAATCTCCTTTTACTCTTTTTCCGCATTCCTTCCTTCCCAGTCCTCTTTTCCTGTTTGTGACCCTTGGGTTTAATAAATATTAGTCCTCCCTGTTTATAATTTTTCAAGATGCTCTATGGAACTAGTCTATTGTTATTAAACAACAAAGCTGAAGCAATAATTTAAAACAGCGAAAAATAAAAAGCAACAGAGCCAAAGAAGGAAAGAAACAGAGCAAAATGTTATCGCTGCCTGTTGTGAAGTTACCATGTATGAGCTACAAAAATCTGGGCTAAATGGCAGCTGAAGGCTTCGCGTTTTGTGTGCTTCTATGTTGCTGTCTTTGGATTTTTGCAGTGCAGCCGTGGTTTCTGCTGCTGTGGGCAATCCAGTTATCCAGTGTTCTGCACCCAATCACAATGCAAGCTGCTTGTCTGAAATGGGCTCCAAAGTCCCTTTTCCAGCTCTATTCTGATTGAAATAGTATAGGGTCTCCTGCTTCAGCAGGGGGTTGGACTAGCAGACTTCCAAAGCCCCCTTTCCAGCTCTGTTCTGATTGACTGTAAAAAAAGAGGCTGTCCCCACACTAGCCAACCCCCTGCACCTGTTAATCTCACCTCATAGAAGGCAGGTACACAGAGAAAGCTCTGGATAGCTTCTTTCCTTTCGGTGCCCTCCAGAAATCCTGGAACTGAACTCTTATGCATCCACACATTCATCACACACACAAGCCTGGATGGAGGAAAATTCCATGCTGCTCCATGCTGCTCGTGGTGATGGGGGGGGGGGGGGGGGGTGGGGGGGGGGAAAGTGGAAGTAAAACAAGATCCGGCTGCTGATTCACCACCATCTTGCAGATCCTTCAGTCCCCCGCCCCCTCCCTCCAAGCCATGCCAAACAGCCACATGGTGCAGAATGCAAATTCAAGGAAAGTGAAAGGTCAAAACTTTCCGTCTCCCCTACCCTAGCAACTGATGAAGCTTCCAGGATAGGAAGCGAAACGTCTTCTTGTCCCTCGTGCCCCACCCCACCCCACCCAAAAAAATCAGTCCAAGTTGCCTTTTCAAAAATAAAAAAACCACTTTGGAGACAAGCACGTCCTGGATGACTGAGAATCTTCATAGACATTTGGTCATATGAATATCCTTCAAAGAGTGTGGGAGGATGAATGAATTTCCAGAAAATGTGGAGACTACAAGAACCATTTGTGGGTCAATTTGAGATACAAGCAACACAGCCTCATCCCCATCAGCCCGTCTTCTGTTGGAAGAAATGTCCGAGTTCAGTTCCAAGTGGGGAGAAAGACACTGGAAACATGGAGGCTGATTGGAAAGATGGTTTAATGGTGGACAGGACCACCAAGCACCTGTGATTCTGGGTAGCTGACTACCTGGTTTGATGAGCACATGGATTTTTATACAGTTTGTTCTACAGCACTTTGTAATTTAGAGGCTTGTTTTGTGTATTTTGTTACGGATCTTCAATCTTGGCAAGTTTAAGACTTGTGGACTTCAACTCCCATAATTCCTGAGCTAACATGACTGGAGGAGGAAGAATTCTGGGAGTTGAAGTCCACAACTCTTAAAGCTATCAAGTTTGAAGATCTTTGTGTTATTTGATTTTAATTAGTTTGTCTTGCAAAGGCCGACAATGATTTGGGGTTTTTAAATCTTGTTTAACAAATGTAATTAATCTTAGATGCTGGCTTCATTGGTTTTTTTTTTTAATCCTGTCTTGAATGGATTACCAAATCTGCTTTTATTATTATTATGGTATTATCCATGTTTATTATTATTCATGTTTATTACTATTACTATTATTAATAATTTATTATTATTATAAATTTATTATTATATTATTCATGTTGTATTGTATTTTTGTTATGGATAGCACCAGCAGAAGCAAAGTCAATTTCGTTGTATATATGTACAATGACAATAAAGATTATATAAGGTAGCTTCCAACAGTATCTTTGGGGCTATTAAGAAAGACTGAATCTGTTTCTTGCCTCCCCCCAAAAAACCATGTTTCTCCATTTCTCATTTAGAGAAATATAATATTCTGCCTTTTTAAAATATTTCTCAAAATATTTCATTCTTCTAAGAGGGGTGAGTGCTAACTTTCTACACTTTCTTACTGAAAACGTCATACGGAAAGCACCAACTTCTCCATAACCCTCCTTCCATCTCCAATACAACTGATGAAACATCCAGGATAAGGAAGTGAAACATGTTCTTGACCTCCTTTCGCCCCCTTGTACGACTTCTCTTGCCACCGTTGTTAAGTGAATTGCTGCAGTTAAGTTAGTGACACCGTTGTTAAGTGAATCACTGCAGTTAAGTTAGTGACACCATTGTTAAGTGAATCTGGCTTTCCCCATTGACTTTGCTTGTCAGAAGGTCGCAAAAAGGAATCATGTAACCCCAGGATGCTGCAACCATCAAAAATATGAATCAGTTGCCAAGCGTCTTGAATTTTGATCACAGGACTTGACCGTTTTTCGCACTTACGGCCGTTGCAGCCTCCCCAGGGTCACGTGATCAAAATTCAGGCACTTGGCAACTGACTCATACTTAGGTGATCTCCTTTTGCGACCTTTTGACAACGAAACTCAATAGGGAAGCCACATTCACTTAACAACTTGGGCAAGAAAGGCTGTAAAATCATGGTTGCAAAATGCACCTAACCAACGTTTCACTTAGCAACCGAAATGTTGGGCTCAATAGCGGTTATAAGTCGAGGACTACATGCATTCATTTTCCAAATCCCTGCCCCAAAACACGCCTAGAAAGCACGAGGGAAGCGCCTAGCGCATACGCACTGACTTCCCCACGGCTCCATTACAGCCGCCAGAAACCACTCTGGACTTTGCCGATGTGATGTTCCGCTGTGTCGTTGGACTCCTCTCGAGCGTGGTATCCCTCCGCCAGGCGCGAGCTCCGCCTCCCACTTCCGCGACGTGGGCGGGGACGGAAGAGACCACAAACAAAATGGTCGCGCGGCCTCCGGAAGCCTCGCTCCGGGCGGAAAGAGGCCCGCCCGTGGATTCGTTCTCAGAACACTAAGAGCGGGTTTCTCGAGCCCGTCTGCTGTTCGCTCCGCCCTTTTCGCAGTCAGTCTCCGCCCCGTTCCACCGCCTTGTGCGCGGGGTAGGCATCGGTAGGCGGCGCGCACGCGCAGAACGGACACAAAGGTAACAGCGAGGACAGCTTCTTCCCCTGAGCGCCCGGCAGTGGGGAAGGACGGAGGTGCTTGCTTTTCCCTCGTCCGTAGCACCTGGGAAGGGATTTTCGGGAAGATAGGCTTTTTCTGGGTCGGCACCGGGCCCGTAAACCAGGGGTAAACCATGGCTTTTTTAATGACTTGTGAACTTCAACTCCCAGAATTCCTGAGCGCATGCGCTTTCCTCCCCGCCTAGAAAACGAGCATGGCTGCTTGACGAATTCTGGGAGTTGAAGTCCACAAGTCACAAAAGTGCCAAGGCTCCCCTTCCCTGCCCTGTCGGCCGCGGAATGACTCTGTTCCCCCAGTCCCCGAGCCACAGCCCTCTTCTTACCGCCCTTCCTGCCCCGAGTGGCGGGACTGGGCCTGTTTCCCACGGTCCCCAAGCGAGGCTTGTGGGTGCGAGGGAGAAAAAGGCCTGAAGAGAAACTCGCGTGTCAGAAAAAGGCGCGAAAATGTGAGTGGATGTGAAACACATGAAGGAAATTAGTGTGGGGAGAAATTGCAAGGCGAAAATGTCGAAAAAGGGCACAAAAGTGGCTGTTGAGCAACATTTTCTAGATGCCAAGAGTCAATAGAGGTAGTCCTCGACTTACAACCATTTAGTGGCCGTTCAGGGACCTGACTGCTTTTCACACAACCCTTGCAGCATTCCCCATGATCATAATTCAGGTGCTGATATTTAGATAACTCATACTTATGACAGTCAGTCCCAGGATGACCCCTTTTGGGACCTTCTGACGAGCAAACTTAAAATGGGGAAGCCAGATTCACTTAACAACTTATCAGCTGCACAACAGCTTAACAACTGTCATCGTCAAAGGGAGCAAACTTCAACACGTTTCACTTAGCAACCCCAAATTTTGGGCTCTGGTGATCCGGCTCTGGTGATCGTAACTTGAGGACTACGTGTATATTACTATTATTTTTCCACACTGAAGATGATTTCCTCTGAGTTGCTGCTAAAGTGGACATTTGCACAAAAAAATGCACAATTTCGGCTCTTTATAAGAAACAGCAGTCAATTGCTACAAGAGCATGTTTCTTTCTCTTTGAATGAATGAATGAATTAATTCTTTATTGGCCAAGTGTGATTGAACACACAAGGAATTTGTCTTAGTGCAAATGCTCTCAGTGTACGTAAGAATCCAAAGTGGAAAACAGATCTCTAAATCTTATTTATTTACAGGTGTGGGATGAGTAAATACATTGCTATTCCTCAAATGAACCTTTCTAAAAAAAGTTGCATGAAAGAAAATATGAAAAAAAATCATTTTCTTCTGTGATTTCCATTAAAGTGTTCCCCACTTCTGCTAAAATTTGCCTTTGTGATTTGAGATTGTTACCTACCTCATTCTCAAAAATCTTGCAACCATGAGTCATCTCAAATTAGTGGGAACAAACATTGATATATTCCTTCAGTTTCAATGAATGGATAGGGCTGCAAGGAAAAATTACACATATTACATTTTCTCATGAAAACATTCAGGGTTCAATCTTGTTTTATCCTATTTTCAATTATTCTTGCAGGCTCTGTAAAGGGTCTAGAGATTTATCACTTTATTTTGATGTGACCAGTTAATGAATTTTCATCTCTATTGGTGTTACATATAAAACTATTCATTTTTTATCTTCTTGTTTCTCTCCAAATTTTGTCACCATGTTTAATTTTACAATTAAACCAATGCTCTTTCGTTTATTTTACTGATTTTTTTGAACTAGGCATGGTTGGTACCTTTGTCACTACTGGTTTTTGGGGGGTGGGTTTTGTTTTTTTTTTTCAAAAAAAAAACCTAGTTTAGGACTGAAAGACTACAATCTTAACTGAACATTTTACCAAGTGTAAAAACTTGAGTTTTTCAGATTTTGTTTAATAACAAATTAGCAAATCAGGAATTTGTCCGTCTTGTTTAGTGTGTTTGGCTCAGGACACAATACATCCTCTCATGAAATAAAAACTAATAGATTTTGTCTTTTGGGAGTGTAACAAACTCACACTTGCAATGTCCCCCCAAAAAGAAGACATTTGCAAAACAATTTGCATGTTTTGTAATATTTGTATAATTTACATATACATTTCGGTAACAATCCTATCATCCAACAATCTCAGCGTACAAAGCATCTTCAATCTTTACAATTTTGTGCTTTAAATTATGCATAATACATTCATTCAAACCTTTTATTCTTCCTGTATAGCAAAAAATACAAAAGGACTCCATAACAGCTAACAGAAACTTGGTGTGGGGCCCAAGACATCACAGCAGGAACAGGCTAAACAAAAATATACATCAATTAATTTTTTAAAATATGTCACATGATAAAGCATTTACAAATTCCCAAATACTTGTCAGCTAAAAATAAAAAACTACCCCAATCTTGCTCTGTTTCTTTTCATTAGATACCTGTGTATTTCTCATTAGAGCAAATCAAAAAGGGGACAGCTGTTTTTCCAACAGGTTCTTTAAAATTTTCTTGTAGGGCCACAGATTGTTCAGGCAACTTTGCACCGGAGTCTACAGGAGTTGCATCTAATATAAGAAGCCCTCAGT